GTAGCTGACCGATAAATTCCCAGCTGGAATCCACAGCCCAGGAAGTATCGTTGAACACCTTGGTCCTGATCTTTGGTGGTTGCACAGGCTTGGCACGTGGAATCTTTTTCGTCTCTTTAGTACCGAGCCGTTTGGCCAGGTTATCGACGGAAGAAGAGATCAAAGGCGTCTTGTCCTCCGTTTCCTCCGGTTCCTCCCAGTCGATCGGATGCAGTTGATTAGAATTTGCGCCTGCGGGCGTCTGCAGCCACCCTGGTTCGCTGTGTCGATACTTATTCGTGGCTGGATTGTTCCTAGGCCGCCTTCTCGGTATTATCGCTGCGTTTTGCGCGATGGCGTCAGCTGGTTCCGCATAAAACGGGCTACCTTGCTTCGATTCCGGTGTCAACGGGCTGTTGCTCTCCGACTTGGCCAGCATTAAACCTAGTTTATTCCTGGGTGGCGTTACCGTACTGGGACTGTTCAAGGAATTCGCGCTGCCTGCTTGAAGAAGAAGCGCAATTGGATCAAAAATTCGAATGAAACGCTAGACATCCATTGATTAAATGTACTCACAAACACGAGACAACAGGTCAGGTCTCCTTCCCATTCCCGTTTCCTCCGGCGATCCGTTGCTCTGCTCCACGAACTTCGCCTCCTGGACAGGTTTAAAGCTGCTAAACTCGGGGCTGGTCATCTCCTTGTAACTCAACTTCTCGTTCCCGATCGACTTGTCGTTCCTCACGATCATCCTGTCGTTCCTCACTATCAACTGTTCATTCGTAGCCGGTCGTAGCTCGTTGAAATTTCTCTCGGCTGAGTTTACAACCCTGTCCGGGACCATCAGCCGGTCGTTCGAATTTCTCAATCGATCTTGAGGATTCGCGGGTCCATCGTTCCTCGCCAACTTGTCGTTCGGCGACCAGGTGGAATGGTTCGACTGGTCGGTGGTGTTCCAGATGTCCTCGTAATCCGATATCTTGTCTCCAGGCGAGCTTCGATAATAGGACTCGAGGATGTCGGATTCCTGATAGTGTTGCGAGTTCTTTCGCGCTTCCCTGTCCCGCCTCCGCTTCGACTTGCTCGTGCTGGAGGGCGTGGTCGGCGAGAGAACGTTGGGCGTCTTCACGCCTGTGTTTGGGACTAGCTTCGACATTGGAGAGAGCACGGGAGTCGTCGGCGACAGGGGTGACTTCACGGAGAAGTTCGATATTAGGGATTTGTTCGATGTGGCGCTCTGCGGGCTCAGTAGAGACGTGTTGGGATCCGATGGAGTGTTCTGTGAAAAAGGGAAGATTCAGAAATTCAAGAAATGAAAATTTTTTAAAAGAAATTTTACAATTTTAATTAAAATCGGCAGAGGAAATCGAATCACCTGCGAACTGCTGACGTCGTTCGTGTGATTCAGATTGAACGTCACCGTAGCAGTGACGCTGAAGTTATTTTGATTTTGTCCGATTCCGGGCTTCGCCCATCTCGGGGGCGGCGGCGGAGGCGTCTTCACGTTCTGCCCCAACGAATGGTTCTCCGCTATAATGTTCCTGATTTCAGGCAGCACGGGCGACGTGGTGCAGGAGAAATTGTTGAAGGTCGATACGTTTTGGTGAAAATTCGATATGGAGGTGGTAACGGAGGAGAATTTGGTCCTGGACAGTTCGACAACCGTCGATTTCGACGTCTCCGCCATGCTTTTCGCCTCGAAGCTGACTTTCGTATCCTGGACCGGGCTAAGCACGTTACTTTCCACGTTGTGTACCACAGGGGAGGGACATCTCACGCTTTGAACCAGGTTGGGGGAGATCAGTTTCTGGGATAATTTGTCGGCTGGCGAGAGTTTCTCTTTCTTCAGATCCAGGGGCTCGTTGAAGGTTGTCAGGTTAAGGGTGTTCGGTGGTGTTGGCCGAGGTTGCCGAGGCAACGAGGACGCAAACGTCGTCGTCGTGGTCGTCAGAGCTGCTGTAGGTGACGAGCCTCCTGCGCCAGAGAATAAATAGACGATAATAATAAATCAATCTTAATTTCATCGGCGAAATAATGTAATCCGTCTATCACTCACGTGTTTCGTGCGATGAAATGGGCGCTAAATTTAGCACGATACTCTCCGTCGTTGGAGTGTGAATGTTATTATTGTTATTGTTCAAATTGTTGTTACCTGAAACGAAGAATAGATAAAAATACTCGTCTCGTGCGAAAATCGAATTTTCAAATTGCTTATCAAAATTATTCTATCATGTACGAACTTACCGCCTCGAAAGCTACTCAAGCTAGACGTGTTGCTGCTGCTGCTCTCCGGTGGCTTTGGATTCGCCATCGGGTATCTCCAGAATTCCTGACCCAGAAGCGCCAACGAGGAGAGCTGTTGCCTATTCTTGGCCTCGCGCATCGCCCTTGGCAGTGTCAATTGGACCGGCAATTCGTCACTGTTTCGATCAGAGAAAGAGATGAATCAATGAATCGAGAAGGATCGTTCTTAATCGAGACGATGATCGATTTGTTAACCGTGCGATGCGAGAGAAAAAGATTTTTAGAGAAAATGATTTCACTCTTCTCGTATTCTTTAAACGGTCAATTAATTCAGCAATTATTCCGTGATTCAAATTCGAATCGAACGATCAACGTTCTAATGACAGTTATCGAACGTGTCGATCGTTTGCAAAAGTTCCTTTAATTACAAAAGAAAAGAATATAAAAGCAAGGAAAAATGGGATAGAATGAAACAATTACCGCGTTATCGGGTCGGATCGATAGAAAGGTAAATGGGCGGAACGCTCATGAATCATTAATCGGACTTATTAAAAGGAAAAACGGTACGTCGATTATCACGAAAACCGAGGATTAACACGGTTTTGAAGAAAAAAAAAAAAAANACTTTTCACCGAACCCATTAACTCCGCTTAAATTATCTGTGAACACGATC